TTTTTTAAAATGAGAATATTTAAATTACATGCAATAATAGGAGTCAGCCAGGAAAGGTATAAGGAAAAGAAGATGAGCAGTGATAAGCCACGATGAAAAAGAACACATGCCCAAAGTAGACTGGTGGACTCATGACAAAGAAGGGAAGTTGAGTAGGTGGGCAAGACCACCAAGGCTTAGCTGGTATGGACTGGGAGTTTAGACTCAAGTTATAAATAATGGGATCCTTTGAAGGATTTTTATCCCAACAGTTACATTACATGACTGAACTAACAATTTCAAGATTTTTCTCTCTAGCTGGCATCAGAAGAAGTCACAAACAATGAGATAAAAGAAGAAACAAGTTAATAGAACCATCACTGAGAGTCCTCAAATGGTGACAGTGATTGAACGGTGGCAGTGAAAAAGAATGAGGAGAAAACACATATTCAACAAATACAAGAGTCTGTGTGTACATGTGTGAAAAAGAATGAGGAGAAAACACATATTCAACAAATACAAGAGTCTGTGTGTATATGTGTGAAAATGAACATATGTGAAAAATTGTTTATGTTACAAACCAAACGATAATAATTTAGTGGTTTCTGTTGCAATTTCTAGAAAAAGTGATAAAAAAGTGTAGTGATTAGCAAAAAAAGCCAATATGAAAAATAAAATAGGATGCAAAATAATGATATTTCTCAATGGAAGGACTAAAGGAGGAACAGGAAAAGCATACACAGTCCAATAAGAAGAAACTCATATAGTGGGCTCACCATAACAGTAATCATATTAAATGTAAGTGGAATAAATATTCTAACTAAAAGATTTGGATTTACTAGACTAAATAAGATAAAATATCTAAGTCTATGCATAAACATATAAAAAACAAACATTTATAAGAAAGAACTGGTACATTAGAGAGGGTTTAGAAGCAAAGCAATTATGGTTAAAACTCTTGACTATTGGAAACTGCTTCTAAGACTTTACTCATTTACAGAGGAATAGATCAAAATTATCTGTATGGTATGATTGTTATGGTAGTGACGAAACAAGTAAAATGACATCAGGGACAATTGAAAACGATCAATAAACAATGTTTTAAAGTTAAAAACTCTGATGTATTTTGAAGTTTTGATATGATGAAGTGCGTGCATGCTTGAGGCATTGGGGGGGGGTGGACTGTTGATTTTGTCATAAAACAAATCTTCCTGTTTCCAAGACTACTTTAGATTTGCAGCAGTCACACAAAATATTGTATGTGTAGTGTTGGAAAGAGAATGCTCTCCACACTTCTATTTTTAATCCTGTCAATTTTTTACAACTGCTTCTTACCTAATACATTGAAATTTAAATTTCCTCCAGATTTTACAAAGTGCTCAAAATTTTTTTTCTTGTAAGGAATTTATCTTTCTCCCACAAACTCTCTTGATCTGCAAAAGATCATAACTCTGTGTAGAGAAGTGTGAGCAGAAATCCCTCAATTTTAGTTGTCTACTTTGTCTCCATCAACATAGGACATTGCACCAATGTTACTTCCTCCATTCTGTCACAGTGGGCAAAGCTTAGCCCTCCTGGATTCTTTAGCATAGCAGAATGTTCCTTCTGAACCGAAAAGCAGTGAACTGGTCCACCATTGCTATAGAGGTGATTGCCAGAAATTCCTCAGGTCCTAACTGTGACAATGACTTCCCTATTTCTTTTCTATTACTAGCTTTTCTGTCAGCAAAGCCATAGCCACAGTTCTAATTTAAAGTCATACGACACATCATTTTAACAACTAATCCTCTCTTACAGAGTTTTTTTAAAAAAGCATCATCAAAGGTTTTAAATTTCTATGCACAATAGATGGTGAGGTATACTTCATTCATTATACAATTGTAAGGAGGGAATCATGACTCAGTGCAGTTAAGTACTCTTCAAATGCTCTAACCTTGTAAGTAGTTCAGACAGAATCGAAATCAAAGTACTCTTACTAAATACTACATTTTGCTATATGTTATAAAACTTAATGTGATCAATTTTATTAAATATAATTATTAGTTTTGGTGTGTTTGAATGTTCTTCTAAACAGTACCTGCTTTCAAAACTATATAGAAAAATATTTTTCCAATACATGACAGTCAGTACGAAGAACAAGTAACAAATTTAAAGAAATGTGAGAATGCACAAAAAGTTTATTCAAAAATTACTTAGAGATAGGACAATGATTGCAAAGTTTCTTTAAGTTTACCCAGGTAGATGTTGAAATAAAGACCAAACATTTTACCGTTGTTGTGTTTTATCTGCTGAACAGTACTTTAAAAATTTCCTAAATAGCGTTTACAACATAGAATAAAAGGTATGTAAACATAACTCATAATGACTTGAGTAAAGGAGGTTGTGATAAGAAAAATTTGTTTCATGGACTCGTTAACTTATCAAAACTCACTTTCATCAGGAACAGCATGGATGCACAATATATTTAGAAAAACAACTTAACTGTTCATAGTTCAGCAACATAATCATGACTATAACAAAAAAGTAAAAGTAAATATATGAGGCAGTACTTTAGTGTGGAAAATTTCTACTTAATTTAAAATGTTCTTACTTGCCTAACTCCTTGGATATTCCTTTAAATTAATATAGGATAGTTATTCATTCACCAAAAATTAACTGCTTTATGTCAATATACTTTGTCACTATCATCTTAGTATAATGTGGTGTTCTGAAACACCTGTCATGGTTAATCATGGGCACCAATACAGAAAGCTAGAAAGGGGGTGACATCACTGTTGTCAGACAGAGCTCAAGTGGGATCCAGAAGCACATGGAAATGTCTTGAACGTGTGTTCATTTCATTAGTATTACTGAGCCAACTCGAAATAGATCGTAAGAAATCAGATGAAAACACAATTTAGCATGGGTGTGTCTATGTGCATATGTGCTTGTGTATGTGTAAGACTTTTCAATGTTAATATCTTTTTTCGAGGTTCAAGATCATTAAATAAATTAAAATACAATTTTGCTTATAACAAGGAATTCAGAGACTTTAGAAAATATAATTTAGCTTTTATATGTATTTTTATTATAAGTTAACAAGAAATATTATTTTATATTTCTGCATACTTATACTTGCCTGAGGATAAAAATACAAAATTAGTAATAAAGGGCAGATTTTGAAAGCAAAAAACTAATTGAGTGGAAAATGTTCTGAATCGATTTGCTCCCAGGAGAACGTTTCAAAGGAAGGAAAGTTAGAATTTATATTTACATTTCAAAATAAAGGCTCAGAATCACTGAGAGGGAAAGTCCAAACCTGATATGCTCTGACACCCAAACGTAATTATCAAAAAGCTTCATTTTTTGATCTTTAGATTTAGATGACTTCAGGTTTTTATTGTTAGATGAAGAATTCTTAACCATAGAGCTCTACATGAACTCTATATAAATATTCTCAAATCTAAAACACTTAATATTCTATAATGTAATAAAACAAAACAAGGCAAAAACATACAAACAAACAAACAAAAAAACCCTGGGCATTGGTTATACACAACTTTAATCCCAGCACTCGGGAGACAGAGGGAAGCAGATCACTGAGTTCAAAACCAGCATGGTCTACAAGAGCTAGTTCAAGGACAGGCTCCAAAGCTACAGAGAAACTGTTTTGAAAAGAAAAAAAAATTATAATATTTTGATCTTGAGCTTTTTGGATAAAACATTCTCAATCTATGCTTGTGAATAGTAGGAAAAGTGTACCTCCCTCCTCAGAGGATAACAGGACAGCTACAAATAACTGCTAAGGGAATACTCATACTCAGTATTTCAGGGTTGTTTTCCAGTAGTATAAAATTCCCTTTTTGGTACCTGCAAGTACTACCCGTTCTCATTCATTAACAAATGAAATTGCAGGTACCTTCACTGCAGAAGCCATGGCTGCAGGTACCATCACTGCAGGACACATCACTGCAACCACCACTTACAAAAACATTACTGCAGATATAACCACTGAAGATATAATCACTGCATGTACCATCATTGCAGGTACCATCACTACAGGTATAATCAATGCATGTACCCTCATTGCAGGTAGCATTGCTGCAGGTATAATCACTGCAGGAGCCATCACTTACAGGACACATCACTGCAACCACCACTTACAAAAAACATCACTGCAGGAACCATCACTGCATTTACCATCACTGTAGGAACCACCACTTACAGGAACCATCACTGCAGGAACCACCACTGCAGATATACTCATTGCACATACCATCATTGCAGGCACCATTGCTGTAGGTATAATCACTGCAGGAACCACTGCTACAGATATAATCACTGCATGTACCATCACGGCAGATACAATCACTGCATGTAATATCATTGCAGGTGCCACTGCTCTAGGTACTATCTCTGCAGGAACTATCACTGAAGGTACCATCACTGCTGGTCTTTGCACACACTATTGCTCTCAGGGATTGAGTACAGCGTGAGCAATTTCATACAGTTACTGCACTACAAAGTGGTTTCTATTTGCATTTAGAAATGTTGCACTTCTTTAAAGGACATAGTGAATGTAGCTTTAAAGAACATAATGAATGTAGCTTTAAAGGACATAGTGAATGTAGCTTTAATGGACATAGTGAATGTAGCTTTAAAAGCACATTTATTGCTGGGCAGTGGTGGAGCACACCTTTAATCCCAGCACTTGGAAGGCAGAGGCAGGTAGATGTCTGTGAGTTTGAGACCAGACTAGTTCCAGGACAGGCCCAAAGCTACAGAGAAACCCTGTCTCGAAAAAACAAACAATACCAACAAACTAAAAGGCATATTTATAAATTCCAGTTTACAGGGAAAGGTAAGTTTGGAGAAAGGGTCTCATTACATTGATTGTAGGCTAATCAAGTTACCTCAACTGTCAAAAAACAAGCTTACTCAACAAAATCAATACATTGAACTTTGCTATATTTTTTTTTACAATATAAACTAGAAAGAACTTTCCAGTACAGTATATAAAAATAAAACTAAGAATCACTTACTTGATATTATCAAGACAGCCTGATTCCGGTTTTAGTATGGCAGTATGGTGGAACATTTTGTATAAAGCAATCCCAAGGAAGATCACATTCAGCTGAAATGCAAAAGGCAATGCTATGTAGATAACCGTAGTACATAAAAAAGGCAAGTCCATTCCCTGTAACACATGAGTTGTTCTAGGAAATTAGTTCTCAGTAGACTCTTAAAGGAACTGAGTCACAGGTGACTGTCTAATGCTTTAGCAAAGGCAAGAAGCCAGCTTTGCAAATTGCAATACCACTGAATTTTTAAAAAAGTCACTCTACCACATACACACAAAATGCAAAATCAGTGGCAGTTTTGAAAGATGCTGTTGAAATTCTGGGACAACCCAAAGCCTAGTGCATGCTTAAGAAAACCAAACCCCCAAATCCAGGAATTATCTAGGAGAGCTAATATATTGACATCCTATGAACTATGAACATATTTTGAGACTGATTAATTATAGACAAATTTCATTTTAGTTATTAGAGACACACCATTTAAATTTTTTTAAAAAAATTATTCTTTATGTCTTTCCCATCATGCGTCCCGATCCCACCCACCTACCAAGTCCTTTCATCTATCCTCTGCCCCTGCAACCCTCTCCCCCCAAATAAAAAAAATTTAAGATAAAATGGGAAAGAAAAAAAGGAGAGAAGAGAAATTTTCTTTATGGAAGATGCAGTGTGACACGGGGAGTCATTCAGTAAACTCCTTTATCCATTCATCTTTACATGCAGGTGTTCATCATAAAGAATCATTGGTTTGGTTGTAGGCCTCTGGTCTTTGCTATGCCATAGACACACAGCCCTCGCTAAGATGCTTCCTGGATACCCCGTTGCTGCCCTGTGTCCTGGAAATCTTGTAGCCCTGGACCACAGGACAGTGCTCCCTCCACCCCAACACCTATTGGCGAGACCAACATTCAACCCCGGTTCTGTGCCTGGGTAGTTGCTGGATTGGTCAGTCCGCCAGGTTAGAGATGTGCTTTTAAAGATACAAAATTACTAACATATACATACTTTTTTCTTTTATTTATTTTGTTGAAATAGCCTAAGTGTATAGTCCCAGCTGGCCTATACCTCACTCCAGAGACCAGGATTGGCCTTACACATCTGGTCATCCTTCAACTTCTGACTATCCATTCTAGGATTACAGATACACACTGCTACACCTGACTATGAATACAAATACCAACCTCAGTCATTTTGAATGCGTAAGTCAAATGGATTTAAAAATGCTGGTTAAATTCTGATGCTTCAATAGACTAAGCTGTAAGCAGGGTCTCTCGTGATATTGTTACGCCACAAAAGCCGGAAAAATGCCTCTAGCTTAAAAGAACATACTCTGGTAAAAATTAGCTACACCTTATGTGAATGCTATAATTCAGTGGTTCTCAACCTTTGTCATGCTACAATTCCTTAGTACAGTTTCTCATGTTGTTGTAAACCACAACCGTAAAATTGTTTTCAGTGTTACTTCATAACTGTAATGTTGCTACTGCTATGAATCATAATGTAATTAGTTTGAGACAGACATTTGCCAAAGGAATAGTAACCCTCAGATTGAGAACCACTGTTCAAAAAAAAAAAAAAGCCACATGCTGAATTGCACTTGAACCGGTGATTAGCCTCCACCACTGGGAACCTGCTGCAAACCATGAAAGTTCACTTAAATGCTCCATTGACATTCTCATCATAACACAGCATCATGGTCCTCTATCAATGATTTCTGAGTCTCAAAAGTAAAAATCAAATGAAAGAAGAAAACTTTAAATGAAACAAATACACAAACAAATATCGCCAAGTGGCTAAAAACTTAATCTAAACAGAATGCAAATAGTGGGAAAGGCAGTTCTATATTGACATAAGGATGTCCAGGGCCATCATCCTACTCTTTTTGATTCTTTCCTTTCTTTCTTTTACTTCCAGAAATGCTTTTGTTACAGACTTATGTTTTGTCTCTCACATATTAATAGTCAATGTGATTGATTTTGGACAATAGGTGTTTCCCGGTGTGTGTGTGTGTGTGTGTGTTTACACATATGCAGGACATATTTATGTATGCATACACACATATGTATATTATGTAGTAATCATGCCATATTCTTCGTTTTCAAATCTGAAGTATTTTTAATTTCAAAATATATCTAGCCCAAAGGACTTCAGGGAAAAAAAAACTTTGTCCTATATTTTATTCACAGCAAAGAGGCTACCACTTCTTTCCAAAAAATGAGCAGTAGCTTTGTATATTTTTATTACATTTCTTTTTCTGTGTGTAAGTGGACACGGGAGGTGTACGTGGTGGTGTGTATATATAGAGGTCAGTGGACAACTTGCAGAGTGGTTTATTTATTTCTACCATGTAGGTACCCGGGATATAACCCAGTTCCTCAGATTTAGTGGCAAGCACTTCAACCTGCAATACCATTTGGGGGCCCTAGGCTTGTAATGGTAATGCTACCAACAGGTTCATTTAAATTGGGACAAACGATGTAGAAAATAAAGGGGTTATTCAGATCTAAATATAAAAGGAGGCATGATTCCAGAATACTCAGCTAGCTAATTTAGTTGTGCCTTTTTCATGTAAAATCTTTCTTTAACGTCTTGAGGATTTACATAAATAAATGAATCAATCAATAAATAAGTAACTGGAAGGAATGGGCACGTGTTCGCCTACTTTTCTATTTCCCGTTTATTTTCAATTCCAATTATCCCAAAGAAAAGGAAAGTAAAAGTTGAAGTAATCATTGTTCAATTGTCTAGACAGCTGTATGGACCATGTGGCACTAAATTCTCAAGTAGCCACTTACTCTTGCAAATGCTTTCTTTCCTTTTCTACCGGTTTTGATGAACTATTTTAGAATATAAAAGTAGACTATAATGGGTGTCTAATTGCTTGAGTTATGTAGGGTCATATAAGTACATGCTTTCCCCAGATTAACCTATGTAAATTTAGGACAGTTAGTACAAGATAGTGGAAGCTTGATTTCGTGACCTGGGGAGTGCGTAGTTAATTAGGGGTTCTCACCATAATTATCAAGGTCGCTGGTCCTATAAAGCTCCAAATGAAGTAGGTGTCAAGTCTCAGCCAGCATCTGCAGTGAAACACAAGGGAGAGAAGCCACTCAAGGACTGGCTACAGGACATCCATCACGAGTGAGCAAGTGACAGAGAAGAATGCAAGTGGCACAGCATTCCACGGGGAGACAGGAAATATTACATTGCTTGTTCATTTAAATGTTGAATTATGTGTCCAATTTCTGACAACGCCATTGATGGAGTAAGATAATTACCCCTGGAGAAAGCAGGGGGGAAAATGGCATCAGGCCTATTTGCTAAGGCCTTTTGTGTCTGTCATTGAAACCTTAGAGAGAGAAAAGAAAAACCCATGCATATAGCCATTAAACCCAGTAGCTTTAAGCTATCCTTTTCTCTCCAATTACAGTGCTACATAAGCTGTCTATCAGCTGTCAGGCAAAGTGACATTTTCCTGTCAAGAAGATCTGAGGAAATTCAGTACAAGGAAGAAATAAATTTGGTATCAGAAGATTGAAGTTTAATTAGGTTGGGCAGCCAACCTTTGAGAGCTCTGACGCTTTAAAAAGAGCATTGTTACTGCTCGTGCTTCTGGGGTTACAAGTGGTCCTTAGCATCTGAAGAAGTTGATACATTACCTAAAAAGTAAATTATTAATCACTTAATTTCAGCCGCATTTAGTACTCCCCCACTTCGTAAAGCTCATGAGAAATTATGTTTCCATTCTTCACAGTGACAGGAAGACAAAGTGAAAGCGACTAGTTACGAGGAAGATTAATGCAAATATTGAACAAATTATTTGATGTTAAGAATAATATCTTGAATAATTTGCCATTTTGTAGTATTTGAGGCATAATTAAAAAAGGAGCATTCCCACTGGTAAATACCAAATAGCACTTTGTTATGTGCTTTTAACTTATAGTCAAGGGCTTGGATACACTGCTGATTATACAAGTGTTAAGTTAAAGAGCGAAGGAATACCAGAACGTTATCATGAAAGATTATATATATTTTTTCAATAATCAACTGATAAACAAAATACCGTTTTTCATCTGATAAAATGGTATGAAAGTTTAAACTAGAGCAGAACTATATTTACCAAAGGGAATCATTTAAAATATATATTGAGGGCTGGTGATAGAATTCAATGACCCATAAGACTCTGAGCTCAGTTCCTAGGACCATAAAGAAAGATAGAAGGGAAGGAGGAAGAAGAGGAGGAAGAAAGAAGTACTAGTTGTTCAGTGAAAAAGCTATGAAATATATTAATATCGTCTCTTTATTAAACATATGTACATAATAAATAAAACAATATATTATATATATACACTATGTACATACTTCATTCTTTTCATGGCTACACACATACATTTGTTTAAGTGATTAGAAAAACCCATTAACTCTTGTTGAGTTATCCCACACAGGAGAATAGAGTGGATAATCCAAAAGTTTTAGCTATATGTTTTATTTAAAAATTACTGAAAGTAGATAGGTGGTAGTGGTACACACCTTATTCTCAGCACTCAGGAGGCAGAGTCAGGTGGATCTATGAGTCTGAGGCCAGCCTGATCTACAGAGTGAGTAACGGGACAACCAGAGATGTTACACAGAGAAACCCTGTCTCAAAAACAAACAAAAAAATACTAATAGTTTTTTTTTCACTTGACTAGTAGATTCAGTTATTATGGTTTGTTTGCTGTTTTCTAATTTTTATAACTTTTACATTTTCCTAAGATGGTTGGTAGCCGTGTTTCTAAGCAAAAACCAAATCACCACCACACATCAATCTCTGGGCATATGGCTATCATCTTTTACCTTAAATTCATATAAACTAATTTTAGGAGTAGTGAGGTAGGCAGACAAGCAAGAGACTGAAAATTAGTTCATCATTTCTACCTAGCCAAAATGGTTTATTATTTTTCAAATACACATAAGAATTCTGCTTGAAAAATACAATTCATTTAAGAATTTAGGGCTTAAATTACTAGCCATTTCTTTCTTTGAACAGTTAGTTATCTCTTTGCTCTTATATGTCAACATTTTGTTATTGTGGAAAGCATTTTAATTATGTAAAGATATGCTACATTTGTTTATGCTGAGGAAAATTATTTTAGCTGTGTAAAGATGTGTAACATTTATCTATGTTGCATTTGTTTAATTATATAAAGATGTGTTGTATTTGTTTCACCTGCCTGCCTAAGGCACCTGACTAGTCTAATAAAAAGCTGAATGGCCAATAGCTAGATGGTTGAGAGAGAGAGTCTTGGCTGGTAGGTAAAGAGAAAATAAGCAGGAGGAGAATGAGGGAGAAAGAGAGGGACCAACCTAGGGTCATAAACCAGGCAGCCACAAGTCAGACACACATGGAGACTGCAGGAAAGTAAGGTAAACATAAAGAGAAAGAAACAGAAGAAAGGAAAAAAAGAACATAGGAAAGAAGGAAAGAAGTAAGGGAGGGAGAGAGAAAGAGAGAGGGAAGCATGGAGGGAGAGAGGGAAGAGAGAAGGCTGGAAGGCAGGAAGGCAGGCAAAAAGCCCCAAGGAAAAACACAGATGAAGAGAAACAGGTTAATTAAGTTATAAGAGTTAGCAAGAAAGGAGCAAAAGGTAAGGCTGAGCATTCATAACTAATAATTAGTCTCCATGTCATGATTTAAGAGCTACTTGGTGGCCCAAAAGAATGCCAGCTACATTTAGTCATAGAAAAAAGAGGGGTGTAGTGTTGCCTATGAACAGATATGAGTCAGAGAGATCTAGCTTCACCTTGGACCTCTGCCTTCATTCTCACCGTAAGCTAGCTTGTCATACCTTAAAGGATTATCTGTATGTGAGTGACTTGAATGGAGAGATTTCCATAAAGTCTAGGTTCTTACAAAACTAGATTTTCCTTTACACTAAAAGCAATAAAGAACAACGCAATATTTATTCACATTAAATCAGATGTATCCCCCCTTTCCATGTCTTTGTCTCCCTTTCTCTCTCTGTCTCTTTCTCTTTCCATTGTTCAAGTTATAGCAACACAATACGACATTAGTAATACATTGAAGAATGATTGATAATAGGATTGACAATTTATAGTTCACAAAATTTTCGAGAGGTCATCTAAGAACTAAACCACATTTTCAGCAAATAATTTTTAGCATGTGAAAAATGTGCTTCAAGATCTTCTAGAAAATAGCTTTTTTCAGGTAAAAAACAGCCCTAACTTCAATCACATTATGAGTGACTTTTTGGATTAAGATTGATTTAAAACTTTAATATCTTCACCTATTTTATTTAAATAACATAATGACATTAACCTTATCCTTACCAAGCTTGATTTCTTTAGAAATAACAGCTTAACAAATGCTTTATTTTGAAATATGTACTTGGCTTAACAATTCTCCTTTAAACATAGAAGGAAAATGTGATGTTATTTTTAGCCTTTAAGAAAGTTCTTCAGTATCTACTTGTTTAAAATTATTCAAATTCTCTTTATAAGTGAACAGTGGAAGAGGCAGTGTGAAATTCGACACGCACTGAGTACATCATCCCTGCATGCTGGCTGTCTGTGCTTTACTATCCTCTGGAATCTGTGTGGCGAGAATGCATTTTCTAATTTGATTGCCATATGGCCATACCTGCTGTTGTTTTTGGCTGCATGCTGGCTTTTGCAAAGCGTTCTGAGTTTCATTTCTCTCTGATTACCCACCTTCAAAATGTACACGGTTCTTGCTCTATTCACCGTGCCAGTATTAAAAGAATCATCCTTGACTTTAATGTGAAGAATGGTATTATATAGTCATGCTTCGTCAGGTATGTACCCACCCCACAGTATTCTAAACACTTGCCCCCTATGATCTTGAGATAAAATCCAGAACCACTGACTAAGAGGTGATCAGAGTCAATTAGGGAGACGCATGCTAAAAGAACAATCTATTACACCAACACAAAAAGTTCAGCTTATAAGTGGTCAAATGTACTTCTAAAGAAAATGGTTTATCTGAAAACCACTGAGATCTACTAAGTAACTTTTACCTAACAGAACTGGTTGTTTTGGTAGGCCGTGTTTGTATAGTTTTTTAAAACTCCTCGGTTTTGTACTGTTAAAGGATATTCAGCCCATTGTTTACAATCTCTGAATTGTGCTTTTAGAAGCACTAAAAGAAAAGACATGACCTACGGGTGAAAAGAAGACTCCCCTGGCCATATTACCTCTTTCTTGTTCAATACTAAATGCAGACTTCTAGAGAAGTCAAAGGAAGACTTTTCATGTGCCACGTGTGCCTTGTCTTTTGTTTCATTGATGAAACACAAATGTGCCATTACCTAGAGCAATAATGACGAATATCTTGCATATCATCATAGAACCTTCATCTGGTGATGGATGGAGATAGAGACAGAGACCCACACTGGAGCACTGGACTGAGCTCCCAAGGTCCCAATGAGGAGCAGAAGGAGGGAGAACATGAGCAAAGAAGTCGGGACCACGAGGGGTGCACCCACCCACTGAGACAATGGAGATGATCTAGTGGGAGCTCACCAAGGCCAGCTGGACTGTGACTGAAAAAGCATGGGATAAAACTGGACCCTCTGAACATGGCGAACAATGAGGACTGATGAGAAGCCAAGGACAATGGCACGGGGTTTTGATCCTACTTCATGTTCTGGCTTTGTGGGAGCCTAGCCAGTTTGGATGTTCACCTTCCTAGACATGGACGGAGGGGGGAGGACCTTGGACTTTGCACAGGGCAGGGAACCCTGACTGCTCTTTGGACTGGAGAGGGAGGGGGAAAGGAGTGGGGGGAGGGGGAGAAGGGCGGGAGGAGGGGGAGGGAAATGGGAGGCTGGGAGGAGGTGGAAACTTGTTTTTTTTTCTTTTTCTCCTTTTCTCAATAAAAAAAATATTCTTATTGTATTAGTTTTCAAAAGGTAATAACAGACTGCTATTTACACGATGAAGTCTTATTGCACTGATATAATTTTATTGATTTCAATATTCCAAAGAATCAGTGCTAAGACACAAAAATAAATTGTTATACTTATCTAGTTTTGTTCTCCAAAATGTAGGACGTAGAATT